GAACTGGTTGTTAAAATATTTGAATCCCACCCCTGGGTTAACATTAAATTTAACAATCCCAGACAATAAGCTTAGCATTGCAAATATGACCAAGTTATATGAAGGACCACCTGCTTACATCCACTCATTCTATCAGATCCAGGGAGTTTCCTCACTCTATGGAACATTGTTTCCCTGAGGTGAAATTAGCCCCATTGCTTTTTGCCTCTGGAAAGCCCTCAGGATGTGCTTTTTCCATCAACCTTGAGCTGACAAGAATTATTTATTTATTATTTCTTTAAAACATCCACGTAGCTGTCTACCTTATAACAAATGCTAGCCAGCTCCCAATCAAAATTTAAAACAGCATAAAATACTATAAAAGCCAAATGCATTAAAAAACAGAATCTGGCACCAAGTCAAGCATCTGACAGGGAGTTCCTTCATCCTATCCTAGTGCTGGGGTGGGGGGAAGCCAGGACTTCAGTGTATTTGGGGCGGGCAAAGTAACTTTCTACTGTGGGCTAACTGGTAGTTTCCTGCATTAGAGCTGTGGTGACGCAGTTAGAATGCAGTATTGCTCACTGCCAGGAGTTCGATCCTGACCGGCTCAAGGTCAACTCAGCCTTCCATCCTTCCAAGGTGGGCAAAATAAGGACCCAGATTGTTGGGGGCAATAGGCTGACTCTGTAAACAGCTTAGAGGGGGCTGTAAAGCACTGTGAAGCGGTATATAAGTCTATTGCTATTAGAAACTCCAAAATCTGCAAGCAGGGTTACAAGCATGGGGAAGAACTTTTTCATGTCCTCTTTCCTAGTAAGGCTTTGTGAGGGATTTCTGAAAAGAATAGCAGAATAACAGAATCAGAAGGCAAAATTAAAATTGGAGGGCGATGAAGGTACTGTAGTTTTGCATTATGTGTGAATGGATATGAATGCTAGATGTGTATATATGAGCTAAAGTGTATGCATGTGACCCTCAGCTTCCAAATTAACACTCAGTGCAGTACTTGAAGTTCATGAAACTGTGCATGAAATTGGCATATATTGTGTAGATTAATATCAAGCATAGAGAAACTAATTAATATTACATTTGAAGGAGCTGCTTTCAATCATGACCAAAATGGATAAACCAGTTTGATCTTCCTGGTATTAATTCAAAAAAAGAAGAGAAGCCTCTCTTGGTGCCCAAGGACATTTTCTTCCTAGGTTAATAGTGAGTCATTACTGTTTCTAGAGCAATTCCTATTACTTTTTGTCCATTGGCATGAAATAATTGGATTTGAATATGTTCCATCATGAACACCTGCCGTGTGCTTTGAAATTCTAAAATCCAACTATAGTTTAAAAAAATAATAGCACCACAATATGGGCCTCAATGGAACTTCAGGTAGTCCTCAACTTAAAATCTTCATTTAGTGCTGTTCAAAGTTACAACGGCACTGAAAAAAGTGTCTTATGACCATTTTTCACACTTACGAATGTTGCAGCTTCGCTGTGGTCACAAGAACAAAGATAGGATGCTATTTATGACAGTTGTAGTGTCCCAGGGTCAAGTGATCACCTTTGGTGACTTTCTGACAAGCAAAGTCAATGGGGAAGCCAGATTCACCTTACAACTGTGTCACTAGCTTAACAACTGCGGTGATTCTCTTAACAACTGTGACAAGAAAGGTCGTAAAATAGGGCAAAATGCACTTAATAAGCCCTTAGCAGCAAAAGTGATGTTGCTCAATTGTGTCATAAGTCAAGGGCTACATGTATACTCTATAGACGTGATGGCATGCAGAGCCACTTCTGTTGGCATGTTAGAGGTCACCCTGGAGAGCTCTACTGCACATGCACGTGCGCCCCTGTCAGCCGATTGTTAGGTATTTGCTGTGCATATGCATGGGGAGACACACACGTAGGAGATGCGTGCACATGCGCAGAGGCATGCGGCGTGCAGGGGGTTTGTGTGCACATGCACAGAGGTGTGCAGTGCAGGGGGCATGCACGCATGCGCAGAGGTGCATGATGCACATGCAGGGGGTCACACGCGCAGGCACAGGGGGGGCGGGGGCAGTCGCGCATGCACTTTTGGCATACAACATGGAAAAGGTTAGCCATCACTGGTCTACAGACTTTGATTCTGAAGAGATGTTATACCTCTTCCGTTTCAGTTCAGAAGTTCCATAGAAAGCATCATGGAAAATGATAGGGCTACTTTCATAGGTTCCTGGCAGGCTACTCTTGCATGCTACTATAGACTAACACAGCTGCCCTGCTGCAATCCATTTTGAGTCTTCAGAATGTAGGGAAAATATTGCATGGCATTATTGCTTTGTTTAAAAACTGGAAATGCAGGCTTTCTGTTTCTGGCAAGATAATGGAAAAGGGTCAAGGCATGCATCTGAAGTCGTTGCATGTTTGTAATTAAAAAAACATGTACGAACAGGACTCTGTCTTGACTTTTGGTGTTTTGCAGAACGTCTTTCATCTTGATATTGTGCTCCATATCTCAAACGTGTCGAGTGAACACTGTCAGTTCAGTGGCCCAGTTGAACAAACTGCTACATGCAACAGAAACCAGGGTTGTTGGCATAATTACGTCATTAGCAAAACCTATGCTGCTCAAAGAAATATTACTGCAAATTTTTTAATGAACCATATTTGATGCTGCTGGTGAATTGCATGTGCAAACAGATACGTTCCTTTCCTCCCTACTAAGCACACTGTTTTATATTCCTTTCATATTGCAAACGTCTGAAATGAAAAATGAAAAGGAATATATTTAATGATTTTGTTCAAACAGATACACTGCATAATTTTCTCTTTCAAAATCTCATCTTCAAACATCACTTAGGGAATGAGTTGCTGCTTGTCTTTCAAAAAAAGGGGGAGAGGAAATAATAGTATGAATCATCTATTCACAGTTTGCCTATCTCTGGCAGCCGGACATTTATTTCCATGATGCTCGTTTTTTTCCTGACTAAAATAATCTGAATGCTAGCTAAGTATCCAGACCGTAGATTTAGTCTTACGGGTCTCCCAGAAAACACTATGATGAACATAGGTTGATCCATAATCCAGTCAAATTGCTCAAAGCTGTTGAGCAAAAAGCTCATTGCCTTAATCCAACAGTTCTACCTGTGTGAGGCTTCCTTTGCAGGCCTTGTGGGTTGCAACGTACCAGGTATGAAGCTCTGTTTGGTACCAATGTTCTTTTTATTCCATTAAAAATTTATAAAATAGAAAAATGAGATAGATCAGGGAAGTGGTGGGATTCAACCAAACAGGCAAGAAAAACTTTTATAATGGATAGGATCAGCCAGGAAGAAAACCATCCCTTGTAAACAACAACAACAATAACAACATGGATGCCCACTCCCCAATCCTCACAACTGTTCAGTTCACTAAAAACCAAGATCTTTATTATCTTCTCAGCAACTCGGCAAGCATATATCCACACCTCCTTGCAATTTAGAATGCCTGAAATTAATTGGAATGACTCCAAAATTTCTGTTTTCATGGTCTCACAGACATTGTATGAGCACCTCGTCAAACCACAGCAGTGTCTTCAGTGCCATCATTGCATTTCAACATCTCTTGAGAGTCTTCATCAGAGTCTTGAATGTTTCAGTCTGCTACCCAAACACTCTCTATGGTTGGAAAGTTTTAAAACCCCAGCTGTTTCTGCTTATGTTTCAGTATCTTTAAAGCAGATGTTGGTTTATAATATACATAGGACTGTTTTCTGTAAATTAGGCATTTGGGTAACCTAAAATAAAAACCCACATTAGAGATTTCCTTTATGCCACTGGTCAACAAGGAGCATAACAATTACATCTGCCACATGCCTAATATCTATCCACGGATATTACAGCTCAAAGCCTTGGATTTTATGACAGAAGCAATTCCATGTCATGGTGGCTCCACATCTTAAATAATTTAGGATTGGTACAACATAGGCCAATGAAGGTCAAGAGCTCTGGTGGCTCAGTGGTTAGAATGCTATATTGCAGGCAAACTGCCCACTGCCAGGAGTTTGATCCTGATGGGGCTTGCAGGTTGACTTAGCCTTCCATCCTTCCGAGGTCAGTAAAATGAGGACCCAGATTGTTGGGGGGCAATAATCCTGACATTTGTTAATGCCTCAGAGAGTGCTGTAAAGTATTATAAAGTGGTATATAAGTCTAGGTGCTTTTACTATTGCTATTGCTAAAATAGTGACATTCATACATTGAGCCACTCTGGAAAAATAATTGTAGGTAATAAAACATCTATGGACCTGGATTCTAGGAGGAAAAATCAGATTCTTACCTTCCTCTTGCAGAGGGAAGGCCAAGAATGAGAGAAGAGATCCATTATATCTGCTACAAATTAATACCAATTTCCATAAGCGATAGCAGAGATGCATGGGGAGCAAACCTATGAGGATAGCGATTGTATTGATATTGGCAGTGGACACAAAACAAAATACAAATTGGTCAAGCTGAATCTCTCTACATGCAGGTTACAGAAGATATTTTCCTTCCTTAATTAGGTTGTTAACAGCTTGAATCAATATTAACTCACACCCAGAGCCTGGTGAATAATTTCCCACCTGAAGCCAATATAATGAAGTCCCCAAAAATAAACAAGGTAACAAGCATAAGAAATATCCCTTGGCTGGCACGAAAGACTAATCAATAATTGGTTAATCAACCAAAACAAGTGATCCTCCACACACATTAAGCACAAAATGTCCTGCCATGACTTCCCATTGGTTGGAGCCAAGCCATTGCGCAAGTTAGATATGATTTTCTTTCCTCTAAGGATTATTTAAATGACAAATCCCTGCACTAAGCACACTCTCATAGAACTAATAGTAAAAAAAAAAGGGTGAATCCCACCACTGGACAGAACCATGCTTTCAGGCAATGCTGATGGCCATTTTCCTCCCAATAATTGTTTGAGATCTGTTGCTATACCTGTTCTTCAAATCAGCTGGGTATGTTTGTAGGATATCCTACCTTATCTGAGTTTATTTTTCATTCTCAGAGCTTCAATTACCCAGAATTGCTCAGCTGCAGCAAGTTCCTAGTCAGGCTCCTTCTGCAGATGTGGTACAAAGTTGGCTGATGACACCCCAGTTAAACAGCATCCTAGCTCAAAGGAAGCATGAGGTAATAACATTATTACCACATTGGGTTGATACAGCATGAGATAAGGATGGAGAAAGCTTTCTGATCTTGGAATAAACCATTTGACTCTTCTGAGCTCAGAACAAAATACTCTGCCTGCTGTAAGTTTCTTGAGAGTGCAGAACAAAATAGAGCAATTTTAATTATTCCAGCACAATGACTCTGTTTTTCTTTTTTTTCAATTCCTCCAGTCAGCCCTGGAGATCTGGAAAATGATTAGCCATTTAAATCACAGGCAGAAGTGCCACTTTTATTGCCTCTAATATAAAAAGTAAAGAAAATAACCTTAACCAAAATATGTAGGCAAAGAGCGGGGTGGACTGAGGGTTTTTATTTTCAGTCCAAAAAAGGAGATAATTTTGGAAGGGGGTCAGGTAGATGCCTCCTTAATTCACTGAAATATAAGAAGTGGGGAAGCTACAATACAATTAGACTTGCAAGATTCTGTTATTATGTCCACTTTCAGCCAAAAGAGTTTTAGCTTTCCAGTAGAGTTTGTTTCCTGGTCTGGTATATCTAGTGGGCTAAAAGGGAGAGAAAGGTGATGGGAAGCATCAGTTTGAGATGAATTAGTCCAGAAAAATACTATGATTTGATGATATCGTAAACTACCAAGAGATAGAGAAGGGCCAAGATGGATGTACTACCCCTATCCCAAGACCACCACAGTTCTACCAGGACCCAGGAAGCATTTTTTTCTGTGCCAGAGGGTTTTTTTTAAAAAAAAAAAACTATATTCACCATCCAGAGTTACAATTGTGAATTGGGTGACCATATCAGTTGGTTAAATAAATAAATACCATGCTAAGCAAACAACTTTATTGCATAGTATATCACATGGAAAATAAAAATTTTAAAATTATTATTTTCCCTAAACCCAAGCCAAACCCAACTGTAAATTAAAATTCACTTCAAAATCAGGGGATTTAGATTCCAACATTGGTTATTAAACAGGCTCAAGTGAGGAAGGTTTTTATTAACTGTTTGATCCAAAGATGGCATATCCGAGGTGGATGGATATTATGTACTTGAGGGTTTTATATATACTGTTCCTGTCCTTTAAAGCTCACCATGACTTTGGCCCAACTCATGTAATGAGGTGGTTGGTTTTAATAATACTTCAATGGGACTTAATACCCTTTAAGCTAGTTATACTGAAGTGAAGACTTGCACGAATATAAATCTTAACTATAATGCACCACAAGCGGGACTTGCATTTGAGACAGAGCAATGGCTGAAATCATTTCATAAAATCATTTCATAATGGTTTCATTAGCTTTTCTACAAAAACTACTGATCAGACCTGCTTATGTCCCTGAATGCCTGTTGTACCCCTTTTCAAGTCCGGTTTGTCAAAAGACTCTCTGTCTTTGCTATATAGCAGGGGTCCCCAAACTTGGCAACTTTAAGACTTGTGGACTTCAATTCCCAGCATAGCTGGCTGAGGAATTCTGGGAATTGAAGTCCACAAGTCTTAAAGTTGCCAAGTTTGGGGACCCCTGCTATACAAAGATCCTATCTAGGATTCACGCCTTGCTAGGCCTCTGTCAAGACACTTGAAATGGGGCAGAGAATTCTCCCCATGTGGTGAAGTAACTGTGGTGCTCCTCATCAGACACTGGATCATATAGCAACTGGCTGCCATTTGAGTGCTTATACGGAAAACCAGATTTTCTCTAAGTAGCAAATACTGCGCTTAATTGGATAAATGGCCTAAATATTAATATATAGAATACTTATTCTTTTCTCATGAACCAACTTATTTCAAAATGCAACCTATAACTTATGCATAGCTTCTTGAATTCCTCAAACCTTACACAATTGACTAGATGCTTCCATCATATGTGTGTCATAGTACTATGTGCTCCTTTTATTTATTTTTTACTATTGTTATCCAGGTACTCTACGCCATACACTAAGTAAATAAATAACAGATCCTTAGAGCTCCCAGTCTAAGTATCCAATGTGGAAGTCCAAAGAACAAATTGACACATGGAAAAATGAATTTAAGTGAAACTTTTCTGAGGTGGTAGAATGGGTAATACCAATCTTTATGTACAAAAACATTTGAAAGTGGCATTTGACCACTGTAATTGTAATATGGGATTATCCACCAGAACCCACCTAAGATATTTTGCTATCTGAAATAAGAGACAAAATAATCCTTGCAATGGATGAGCAATTGAACTTTCCTTCTTTACCCTACCGGAATTCTGAAGGCTACTTTATGTTTTATCACATCCAGCTCTCTTTGTCCCCATCCTTCAGTATCTGATGCCTAAGGTGTCCAGATACATTTTACCAGGATTACTGTGCTGTCCTTTACTACCTTATAATTCTGTCACCTCCTTCTGCTTCATTTATAATGCAGGTGTCTTTCAGTTACTGGCACTTAGAAGCTAACATGCAAAACAGAATACAACTTTTATCAATGTTCTCTGTTTCTTTAATTTTCACGCACAGAGTATTTTCAAACACAATCTGGAAGAAGGGTTCCTGAAAAGAATAGCAAAGCGAAAAGTCCGTCGGCATGTCTTTGGAGAAATTAACACCAAGAAGGTTTATCAGTTTGGAACATCCTGTTCACCTTTTCATGCGCTGACTACAACTGTGCGTAAAACATGGGCAGGCAACCTAATGCTTATAGGCAACTATTCAACAGTTTTCTATTTTATATTAATTAAGTTTTCCTCTGTATGCCCTTCTGTTTGAGCCTACATATTAAGATAAAATTACATGTGTGGTCGTACCAGTGGTTATTTAATAACCACAAATTGACATATTTCTACCCTTACATTATGCTTATGATAAAATATGAACCAGGGTTACTTAGGAAGTCACACCAAATCAAACCCACACTAAACAAAGTTTTCGTTAAGAAACAACAGGCTAAAAGCTCACTAGTTTCCGGGATACCAGAATTATGTGTAGTTCAAGGCCTTCATCAAATATAGCTGTGAAAACAAAATAATATTGTATCTGCAAACTCACATTAAATTACAGTTCCGGTTCCATAAAACTGGAAAATTGCTACTTCCGCCCTAACAGTACAAAGAAGAGGGATAATGGCAGATATTATTATTCTGCTTTCACAAACAGACTGTTCTTTGCAAATATTTGCACTGGTGAATCAACTGCTAGATGTTTGAGTTCACTCCCAATGGATGTGAAAATAAATTTGCTTATGATGACCCTTCTATTCTCTCCCTTTCTCACACGCAGTCTTATTCCAGATCTAAGGCCAGACTAGATTTCTGAGGAGCACAAATGCAATGCATGTTTTATTTTACTGTAATGAATGGCCTTTGGGAAAACTCAGCAGCTGTGGGGTAATGAAAAGATGAAGGAAGGGAGTATTTAACTGGGTTTTTTTCTTTGCCTATTGTGGTTTCAACACAAATCACTTCCCAAGAGCTAGTATATGCATTTTAAAAGAAAAATAAGCTTCTTGGCTATTGCTTTTACATAATAAAAAGCACAGTATGGCATTCCAATTAATTATATTCATGCAATTACAGGTAGCCTTCGATTTATGGTCACAACTGAGCCAAAATTTCCATTGCTAAGCAAAACGTTAAGTGAGTTTTGTCCTATTTTATAACCTTCCTTGCCACAATGCTTCACTGCAGTTGTTCAATTAGTAACACAATTGTTAGATGAATCTAGCTTCCCCATTGACTTAGCTTGTCAGAAAGTCTCAAAAGGTGATCACATGACCCCAGGACACTATCACCATCATAGATATGAGCCAATTGCCAAGCATCCGAATTTTGGATCACGTGAACATGGAGATGTTGCAATGGTCATAAGTGTGAAAATGGGTCATAAGTCACTTTTTAGTGCTGTTGTAACTTTGAACGGTCACTAAACAAATGATTGTAAATCAAGGACTACCTGTAATTTAAGCTCTAATTGTGATGTGGCAGATTGCAATCAATTTTCTAAGAAAAATTACAATACGACTAGATTCTTAATATGGTGTCTTTCATGGATGATCTAGGTGGTCCTTTCTATACTTACTCTTAGGAGATGGAGACTCTAACCTTCCCCAGCAATCTGCCCATGACACCACGGATGATGAACAGGGGCATAGTGTGCACCACCGAGTCAGAGCTGAAAACGATGCAGCTGACATTCCCAGAACTGGATGAAGAGTCCGGAAAAAAACCTCACCCCAGAGATAGAAAGAAACCATTTGGTCCAACCAAAAAGTCCAACTTGCCTCCGATAATTAAGATGTCAAGATCCCAGCTCTCTGAAAATAAGAAGATCTCTGGCTGCCATCTTCCGAGGGTCCCCACTGTCCCTGCATCAATATCACTCAAGTGGGGAAAATTCTAAAAACTTGTTAAATAGCTCAATTAGTTTATCCCAAAGAGGTCTGGTCATGGGATGGTCCATGAACTTTTAGACATTCTGGAGCTGAGAACTGCACAGATGTCTCAGTGATCCAGAGAAGAATGCTGCTGCTATATATTGAATTATCAATGCAAAACTTTCTCAATAATTAAAACAAATGCTATGGCTTCTTTGGTGGGCCAAACCCAAACCAATTTAATCAGTTGCATGTACCATCAGAATAAAGCCAGATGTTTTATTAGGAATGATAGATTCACCGGCTGAATTGACATTTGCGATATTATGAAGGAAGCATATGGAACCCAAGAATGCCAATTTTAAAATCAAGTATTCATTCTGACTAATATGTTTATTTTTATTTAAAGACTTGGGAGTATTAAAGGCATATTAAAGGCATATTAAATATTAAAAATATTAAATTGGAGAATCACAGTGTGATTCCTGAGTGTGTGTCAATACACTGCATAGACCTCCCCGTTGGAAGGATATGGACTTCAAAGGAGTCTATAGTTTAGTAAGCTAAGTTGCACAGAAAAGTGTGAGCAAATCTTGCAAAATACAAATTTAGCAGTAATACGGCATGTTATACAGGTATAACTAAGGCTGGTTAATGGATATAAAATGTTTGCATCTTAAAGCTGTGATAACCAATGGAAAAACATCAATGGAACTATATAGTAATATTTTATATGGACTTGGAATATATAAGGAATATATATGTTATATAGAACTTGGAATATATAAGGAATTCTGTGTGTGTCAGACTAGAGAGGAAAAGGATATAATATATGTGAACCAAGATGACCTGGTTGTGATGACTATATGCAAATAAAAGAAGGTGTAGGGATAATTATGAATCTATTGAATGGTTCTAATTGTGACATAGACAGTAGTGTACAGAGTGGATCACAGGAAAATGGATTGGTGAACATAGAAGGAAAATGTGAAGAAATAAGAGTGAAAGTAGAATGATGATAGAAAGGGAAAGTATGTGACTTATACAAACATTGTCAGAAGATGGATTAATCTCCAAAAAGAATGAATGCAAAGAGAATGCTGGAAATTGAATAAGGAAACCTGATTGGAACAAAGTGCAAAGGTGGTACGGTATGCCACAGAAGTGTATGGAATTATGCTAATTGAAAGTACAAAAGGGGACACTTGTTGGAATGTTGAAGTGAGAGACTGTGAATAAAAAAACACATATATAATAGAATGTTTTCTGAAAAAAGAGTACAACTGGGGTATTGGCGGGGGTGGCCAGGCAAGGGGGTTGTCAGACATGCTATATAAGTATGGATTGGAAAATTAATATATTAAGTGCATTTAAAGACAAAGTAATTTGCAAAAGGAGATTGAGTGAAAAATTACAGGTTATACCAGCAAGCAAAAAATAAATAGAGCAAACTTACTAATTTGAATCATTTGGTATAACATTTAATAAAGAATGGAAAATGGAACAATTTTGAGATGTGCAAAAGTTGGTAGAAAAGTAGTGAATGATATGAGTCTCTTTACAAGAAATGAATGTTGGTCAAAAATAGTGAGAAGTTTGTATCTCACTTTAGCAAATTCTTTTTTACATACATCTATACTGTAACAATCATTCTGAAACAGTACGTAATTCATATTAGTCAGTATCATCCCCAAATACTTTAACTTTCTTCTCAATATTAAAAGACATATTTTTGTCAGAATCTCTTGAACTTGTGGGCTCATATTTTTAACCATCTTTGTTTTTTTGCCAGTTTATTTTAAATCGATCTAATGCTTCAAAATGTTTCAATTTGTTTATTAAATGTTCTAATCTATATCATTCTGAGGTTCTTGTAAAATCAGAGTTAGGTCGTAACTAAAACCTTTCAATTTATGTCTCTCTAAATTGTCGAGCCTGCTATTTTCTCATCCTGTTTAATGCCTCTAGACACAACCTCTAAGACTAAAATAAAAAGTAGAAGTGAGACAGGACATGCTCCCTTCTGAATTTCACATAGTTTAGTTAACTCATGATTGACAATAATATGTGCCTTTTATGGTGTATATATTGATTTATCCCTTAAATAAAATTCTCCCCAAAATCCATATCCTCCAAAACTTTCAACATAAAAGTCCAATTCAAGCAATCAAAAGCCTTCTCTGCATCAAGAAAAATCAATGCTGCCTTGTTGCAATATTTTATTGTAACCAGATTAGTTCTCACAATTGTCTCTTAATTGTCTTTTAGGTAAAAGTCCACACTGATCCTCATGAATAAAATCTTGTAAAATCCTCTTTACCATGTCAGCCAGTATTGTTATAAATATTTTATAATCATTATTTATGTCTGTCTATCTATCTATCTATCTATCTATCTATCTATCTATCTATCTATCT